AGATACTGTATAAACAGCTTTTTATAAGGTAAAAATAATAAAACAAGGTCTTTGTCTGCAATGATTAGACACGTTTTTTATTATTGTCATTAGTGATTATATCAATATCGGCTAAAATAATTGACAAAATCCTACACACTGTGCCTTTAAGTGTACAAGTTCTTCTAAGGGTTGTTAAATAGTAAATTATTTAAAATAAGCAATAATTGTTACATTTTATCCATTTGAGTACATTTTGACCCGAAATTTTTAATATCTGTGTTATACTGCATGTTGAATATTGGCTGCTCTGGCAAAAAAAGATGGGCTRTTTGAAATCTTTGGCAAATATGTCAATAATAACTGTCTGTCCTGCAGTAATTAAGAGTAAACAGGTGGTCTGCACTGAAAAAAAAAAAAACCACCCAAGAAGAAAAACCTATAGAAACTTGAGCTCAGAATGACGGAAAACTAAGTGAGAGAAATCCCCATTTTGACTGAAATCACGGCTTTGTGTTGTTTTATAAATTAATACTTCATCAACTCCAACATAAAGAGAACTGCACCTAAACCACCGATCAGCTGGAGGAAAATTCATCAAGTGCATTTATTCATTCTACATAMATCTGGGGGRGTGGGGTGGGGGGTGAGCAGAAGTGAAACAGAGCGTGCCTGCTGGAGGCCACGCACACGACGCCCAGTCTAAATCACTCTAATCATCCATCCCACTCGCTGTATAATAATATACTGCAGGGAGGAGGAGAATCCCCCCACCACGTTCAGAGCGCCCGCTGYGTGTCTCAGCTTCCCACACACACTTTGTCAACTTGGAAGAGGATGCGCACACAGACGCACACAAACATACACGCAATGAGCTAATGCTTAAACAGCATCATACAGCCTGAAACACAAGCCTGATTTAATCAGAAAGAAATGTCCGCTCAGGGTGAGAGACATTGTGCACCATGCTCATCAGTTTTACAGAAAAAGATAAGTAAGCTCTCACTGTTTTTCTTTGGTTACATTTTTTTCCCTCTTTTAAAACAGAAAGGACAGAAACTTTGCTTTCAGTAAGGTTGTGTGCCAGTTCATTAACAAACAATACTTATAGTATACCAAAGGTGATGTCATTCCCAAAGTTTGACAAGATTTAGGCAACACAGCATGCCATACCTTCACATTTCCTCACAGTTCTCTTTTTTTAATACACAGAAATGTCACAGACTGTGTGCTGCTGGGATTACCTTTTTAATTAAAAAGAACAGCATAAATGTAGATATTCCTCCCTGAATAAAAGGCCTTTTTGGTCATTTCCTCTGCTGAATATATTGACTTTTAATACTAAAGTTTGCAAAGAATGCAAGCAAAATTTWAAAAAGTTCAGTCTAATACACTTTTTTTTCTGGATTACTCTTTTTAACTTTTATAGCAGCAATCTATTTCGAATTGAATGGCTAAAATATGTCGGTGTAACTGGTAATACGCGTCAAGTAAAAGGAGTAAATTTTCATATTTGCTATATGGAGCAGAAAAATACATACAGACATCTGAACTGTGCTTCTATTTTTGACATTAATACAGTTCAGAATCATTTGAGTTGATTTAAGTTATTATCTCTTAATAAGCCTAATTACCTAAATTTGTCAGAGCAAAGGTGTGGGGTTTTAACCATTAAAACTCTGAGGTGTGCAGTGTTTGGTTAGGTGATTATAGTGTGACATTACGCTCCTCAGATTGTTGCTAACACGGAATATTACAGCTCATGCTGACTTCCAATCAGCTCTAAAACAATCAAAGTAAACATTAAACTGAAGAGAAGCTCAGCCTCTGTAGGACTGTTTGTATGAATCAACAGACAATTATAAAGTGTACAGTATATGTTAAAGGCGCATTATTATGTGTTTCTCAGGCATACATTTAAATACTATACTATAATAAAGTATCTATGTCATCTTTAGCTGTTATTAAAATGTTGTTTTTATGTTTAAATAGAAAATAAACTTATCTTCTCATCACTTCCTCTGCTACACGCCTTGAAATTGGCCTCTGTCTCTTTAAGAACCTCCTTCCGCTTCTGTCTCGCCCATTTCGGTGCAGGGGGGGGGGGGGCTGGTATGATGCAGTTTACTTGGCATCTGAAAATACGTTTCCTCAAAGGTATTTTTAATCTGAAAAGAGCTTCACAGAGTGAGAACTAATGTTGAGAGCTCAGCAGACAGTTTCACTTTCACTTTCACTTTCACCCGAGAGCGTGTAGGAGTCATGGGCAGGGTGTGTGGGGAGGGGGGAGCGCCACCATGAGGAAGTTCAGCTTAAAGACACGTCCCAGAGGCGTTTCTGGTCCCCACCTGTCGTTTTGCTCCTCAGCATGGCTGCCTAAAAACACTGCAGGATTTCTCAAACATGCATAAATGAGTCAGAGCAAGGCTTTGGGCGTGTTTTTTATGAGAGTATAACATTATAACATGATATAAAACTCAAAAAAGTTGATTTTACATGATATTGCCCCTTTAAAAGAATTGTTAGGTTTATTCGTACCATACAGTGCTGTACTGTAGTTTTACACTAAGATAACACAGGAACGTATTTACACAAACCTATTGGTATAAGACTGCCCTTGATTCAAAAATTTAAATGTCTGAGGTTTTTTTTTAATAAGACATTTTTCAAAACATTTTAGGTGGTTGTCTGGTTCTAAGTTGGCCCACAACTGGTGAAACTGGTGTACGAGATCTGGCAGATCAGACTCTGAGTTGGAGCTCAAACTGCTCCAATGTTAGAGGGGAAATACCTCCTGGCTGCCCAGAGGGTCTTAACATCACTCTACATGGCATTTTCATGCTGCCTCAAAAGAGAGGATGTAACACTGTGCCATCAGCATCCACTGTATCACTACCAAARGTGACTTAGGAGCCATTTTTCTCCTCACTGATGCAGGAGCTCTCCTCTCCAATGCTCTTCCAAAATGCTCTTTCTGGGTGCTCAGCCTTTTTTTTTGTCAGTCAGTGTCAGTAGACCTGCCTCAGACTAATCAATAACAGTTTCCTCCTCCCCTGCCTGATTACAGATGCAGCTCTGGTGTGTGTGTTGGGCCTCAGCCTCTTCCCCACCTCCATAAATCTCTGCTTCTTGTTGCCACTTGTTGCCACATTCAGTTTGTTTGACCAAAGTGTCTCAGATGCCTCAGAAGAAGACAGTCATGCCATTAAAAGCACAAGCTTCAGGAGAGATCATCAATCTGCTGCCTCCCCTCTCATCTCTGCTTTCAAGCACCTCCACGCTCAAGATCTATTCCCTCGGTCTTCGAAACAGCCGTGGCCTCCAGAATCTGCTTTGGGATCCAAAAATCCTTGCATTCATATCAGTGAGTGYATATTAACAAATAAATACCACATCCCTTAAGAATTACCATCTCATTTGCCTTTCCTTTAATTCCACCTCAAGTTGACCCCTAGTTTTAGCTAAATTAGCAGTAGGCAGCTACCGCACTGCGTAATTAAAGGTCCAAGTACAGTAATTAAAAATGGTTTGTGTTAGTCACAGAGCAGATTGACTTATTGAAACTCGATACAAAAAAAAAAGAAAAAGAAAAAGAAAAAGTGGCAGGTTGGAGGTGATGTGATTAATCTCAAAGGAAGCCTGCAGACCTTCACATGCTGCAGATGCACCTACAGAACACAACGTGACGAGCATCTGGGAAGGACTAAACCACAGGCGTGGTTCAGTGACTGTAAAATTGGCAGTGCTACAGCCTGATTGATTGATTGATTGATTGATTGATTGATTGATTGATTGATTGATTGATTGATTGATTGGTTGGTTGTTAGGTTGGTTGGTTGGTTGATTGATTGATTGATTGATTGATTGATTGATTGGTTGGTTGGTTGGTTGGTTGGTTGGTTGGTTGGTTGGTTGGTTGGTTGGTTGATTGATTGATTGATTGATTGATTGATTGATTGATTGATTGATTGATTGATTGATTGATTGATTAATTGATTGATTGTATTTGCTAATTAGCTATGATGACCATTTTGATTTGGGCTAAATAAAATAAGCTATCTGTACAACAAATCATTGCTTTCTGCGAGTTTCACTAAAATCCATTGAAATGTGATTTATTTTGCTAACAGACGGTGGATTTCAGAAGCAGATATATAAATTTTAACCATAGATCTTTGAAGATCTGTTGGAGATTACCTTCACAWCACCAAACTGCAGCTCAATCCCTGTAAAACTGACTGAGCTAAAATGAGGTTTGTTTAGGTTGATTAGCTGTGGTGGCCATCTTAAATTGAACTGACGCTGAAAGTTATTGTTAATCACATTTTTTTAATTTATTGTTTTCTGTGGCTATTTAAGAATTTGAATACAGCTGATTCTGATGGAAGGGAACTAAAACTTTTTTAAGTTTGGATTTTAAGAAAAATAAATAAATTGTGTGAAGTTTGATCAGCAGGTGCAGAGGTTCCAATAAATGTGTAATTTCTTGTACTTCATCTGAAACCATTAAAAGGCAGCAGTTGTCTCTGTGTGGTCTGCTGGGYGTCCTCGGGCTGGACAAAAGACACAAGAGAGGACCACTTCGACCCTCCTGAGGCTTTCCCTGCGCTCAGTGGTCAGCTCCARAAACCCAACATAGCGCATCTCATCAACCAAAAATCGCTTCTTCTTTTTTTAAAATAAAGAAAAACGCTGAATCTTTTTGCAGACGAATCGATCAGATCCTTCCGACAGCTGCTATTTTCTCACAAAAAAATAAAAAAATAATAAAATCTCCGGGCAAAAGGAACCCATTCAGTCAGCGCGTCTGTGCGCTGAAAGGACTCCGTTATTTTATTAGTGATGTCTCCGGGTTTAAACAAAGAAGGCGCGCGCGAGGAGTCAAATCAGTCAAAAACCAATAAATAACTAAAATTAAAAATGAAATGAATAACAAAACTTTTCCCTCCGGAGACAGAAACCCCCGAGGACAGAAACTTATAAATCAGAAATATGACGGGAGTGTAAAATAAAGGACCTACCATGGCTTTCTTCCTCACAGCTCCGGATAAAAGAACTTCTCCTGGGGTTCCATTCCGCGCGCTGCTCTTTGACGTTAAGATTTAAATCTAATTGTTCCGCGTTTTAAAACAGCCGGTGTTTGCAGACAAATGAGGACAAGTTGTGGACTCCCTCTCAGCTCTGTGACMGCCTCTGTGAACCGAGAGGCTTTCTGTGCGTCTGTTTAGTGGCGGAGAGAGGGGGAGGCAGCAGAGGCACCCACCCCATCTCTGACAGTAATCTCTACACAAACAGCACCATCACGTCTGCTGCTACTGGAAACTGTGGGGTAATAAAATACAGCTGAAGGCGTTGTTTGATTCAGTTTTTTTTTTTTCGTCACTTCAGTAGAAAATGAAACGAAATATTAGTTTATTTAGTTTATTTATTTCTTCATCATCAGTGACTTTTTTAAGTGAAGAG